AGATCGTTCCTATGGAAGCTATATGATATAGTAAACCGATATAAATAAGATTTTGCTTAAATGTAGGGAACATGTTATAAATGGCAAGTTTGGTCAAGATATCTTGACCTACTTTTCGACCGATCGTTTCTATGGCAGCTATATGATATAGTGGTCCGTGGCTCCGACATGTGTACTGCGTGCAACAGAAAGGGGGACTTCTATAAAGATAGCGTTAAAACTGAGATACTAGTTCTCATAGAAACAGACGGACTGACAGACGGATAGACGGACATGGCTATAAAGACTCAGCTGTTGATACTGATCAAGAATATAAATACTTTACGGGGTCGGAGTTGTCTTCTTCTATGCGTTACACATTTTACGACAAAAAATCGAATACCCTCTGCAAGGGTATAAAAAATGCATCAGGTGTGCAGCAAAATAATATTTCACTCTATCTTTATAAAGCCAGAAAATTAGTAAAAATATAAGCTGTGCATTTCTATTGCTTAATAAATTTGAGTTAAATTGAACGTTTAATTAAAATTGCACTTTCAAGCCCATAGAAAGCCCACACAATCATATTTTGCTCTATCTATCTATCTATCTATCTATGTATCATATTTTTCCATCTATTTTGTTATTTAGTTTTCGTGTGGAACACAAATCGTATTTGAGTTTTAGCCTTTTTTTTTTAGGATTGGACTCACCTGACGACGTGCTTGTGACGCTCCACCCAATATTTGATAGCACTGCGAACCATCATTTCCTGTTTTTTGGTGAGTCCATTGGGATTATTGGCCAGGTTGCCGTTGCCATTTGCGCCGGCGTTGAAGGACTGCAGTGTGGATGGCGCTCGGAACTGAGCTCCCCAATCTGCTTTGGTACTGTATATACCTGTCATGTCCAGGTCGGTGACTGGTTCCTTCTCTGCAATTAAATTTGAGCTAAGCATGCGATCAGTTAACTTGGACCAAAAACACACCCTCGTTGTGTATCAGCCCCGACTTGGAGTTGGCTGACAGCGATCTGAAAAGCGCCGCTGAGTTGGGTCTGTATGTGTCCAGCGAGGCGGAGAGTTCCATTAATGGCTTCATGATGCCCTTCAGGTGCTGCAATTGCTCGCAGGCAAAAATTAACCAGGAGCAAAACATGACATCGCACAAATTGGAGTGCACCATTGAGAAGAGCACATAATAAACCTGAAGTGCAAAGCTAATCATATAGAACATGCCATGGCTGGCATCCCACGGATAGAAAGCTTTAATTGGCAGCCTAGGTATCTCCACGGTTATGCTCGAATTTGTCTCCTTATCCACCGCAAACTTCACACTGTCGCCAAAGAACGTGATCGTTGTCCAGGCCGTGGCCGAGGCGAACGTGGTCAGCATTACCAGAAAGAAGAGCTTGCGCATTTTGGCCAAGGCTATCGAGTGATAGCGAGCATCCGATTCGGCAAACAGGGGATGTGTGTTGGCCTGGTTCCAAATGTTTAAAGTTCTGCCACGATCGAAATAAAAGGCAAACTTAAGTCCCATTCCAATTAATAAGTAGTACGCCTGCGCTCACCTGTAAAAGTTTTTTTGGTTTACGGCCAGATAGACGAACTTTACAATGCAATGCGTAAAGAACAACGTGGTTATCGTGTTGCCGGACAACTCATTAACCTCTTCCGCATTCAGCGCCATATTGACCAGAATAAATCCTATCTGCATTATTAGCACTACCATATGCACGGACGAGTAAATCTTCTTCATAAAGCTGCTGCCTCCAGTAAAGTTGTGCATAAACAGTCCGGAATATCTCATTGCCCGTATATTGGGCATCAGATCGGCAACTAAGCCCGTATACTTGCTGGGCTGCATTGTTGTGGCCATTCTCTCGCAGAATAGTTTTCTTCTTATATGTCCTATATCCATTAAATGGAAAGAATTTATATTAAAACCCAGCAAAATCATGCACATTTTCAAGGACTGCGACAGTTTTATGAAAATAAATATTATAAGACAATTTTTAACTGCACTCAAATTAAAAAAAAATTGTTTTTTAAGATTTTAAATAAATTGTTTAAAAGAAAAATAATTTTAATTCCTTGTGCAACATGATTTTAAACTAATTATCAATTAATGTGAACAATGTGAATTTCTTTTTGTAATGCAATCGCAGCCAGTTAACTTGCCTCCTTCGAGTCTTCGATGGTAATGAAAACGGATATCTTAGTTCTGCTGGAAAAACGTTTTAACCTGGCTGTCATCCACTTATTGGCTAAGCCCGAGTACATTTAGTGCCCAGACTAAGGCGGACGTGTACTTTGAAAACAAAATTCACACGCTACGCCCACTTTTTTAGGGGCCAAGTACATAAGGCAAGGACACGTCTGCTCTACGCTATACAGGTAAATTGAAATCATTGGCCCGTTCGGTTTCGTCCCTGGCAGCTTGACCGTCCCTGCATGTTAATGAAACTAAGTATACGGCCTATTGACCATCTACATTATATACTTATAGTGCGCCGGCTGTAGAATTCCCACAATTAAATCGAACGCTACAAAGTTTAGCCCCCCGTACTACCTCCTTTCCAATTGTAAAGTGTGGCTCATTGGCTCGTTTTCTTGTTAGCCCGAACATCTGTCATATCCATATTTTAAAGCCATCGATTTTTTACAAAGATATTGCTATCTTTTGTGACAATCCGGTTCTGGTTGACTGAATTTCCACAAAGAATGGTTTGCTTTGATTTTGATTTAAAATATTTCAGTACATAGGGACAGCAATTGGACAGTTATTAATGCCCAAAATGTACGCAATATTTATTTGCATTATATTTAATCTCTATTCATAAAACAGTTTCAGCTACGAAGCCGAAATGTTAAGTGCCAAGACGAGGTTTTTGGAAATTCCACCCGCAAGTGTGGAAAAATGGCGAAAAGCGTCTGCATGAAAATTTTTTATTTACCAACCGATCGGCCACAAACCCATTTTCAAAGATCTTTGTTCAAATTCATTTGAGGGGTGTCGGAAAATGAATTCCGCCTATGAAAAATCATTTGAAGAGGCGGTTGGAGGAGGCGGATGGAGGAGGCGGATAAAGGAGACGGCGGCAAAGTCGAAAGCGGCGGCTTAAGCTAGAGAGGAGACTGCGGCCGCAACTATAAGGAAAGGTGGCTTTCATGTCGGGGGAAGGGGCAGATTCTACTGGGGTGAAGCGGTGGATATGGCTTTGGCGGAGGAGGCAGCATCAATTTTAAATATGGCCATTGAGAAAACACCAACATAACTTATTTTATAATATTTAAAATAAAAGAAACAACTATTACATTTGTAGGTATTATTGTTTATCAGTATTAAATACACATACATACATAAATACACACGTTGATGATTATTGTATTAAGGTCCTCATGAATTAGCATTCAATATCAGAATCTACTAAAACAAACAATAAGCGAAAAAGCTTCGGCGCCACACGCTTATTTTATTTTAAACACTTACACATACACATTAATTTGTCTGTATGCGTAACCAAAAAAATTGATAAGGCCCGAACAAATGTGTTACGCAAACCCAATACAATAACAAACCGATTGCAAATACATATCTATTTTAGAGAAGACAAAAAAAAATGTTGACATTGTCATAAGAAATGTAGGAATCAGATAAAAAATAAAGCGAACAACAGAAATGGCAGAAAAAACGTAAATTTATTATTACTTATTTGCTAGCGCTGAAAAAGATTTCTATAAATACAACTCCAAAAGAAATAAGAGATCATAAATTTTGGCTGTGTCGTTTCCTTTGTTGTCTCTGACAGTCTGAACGGAAGTGGAGGCAAGTACCTTCATGGCTCCGCGCCGAGACAGTGTCAAAAGTTTAGCATTAGATTTATATGCCATTTGTTATTGATGTTGTTGTTGTTGTTGCTGCTCTGCCGCAGCATAAATCGTCTATATGCATGTGTGTGTGTGTGTGTGTGTGTGTGTGTGGGCGTGTAACCAGGTCAATGCTTTTACCAAACACTTGTCCATATTAAAGAAGAAATGCTCCTGGTCTGATATCCCTTCTATGTAGCATATGTATTGTCTCTGTATCTGTCATGGGTGCGTGTGTGTTATTTGTTTGTTGGTATGTTTGTTGCCTGCCACAAAATTGTCAACGTGCAAACTAAACGGGTTTTGGTCCTGCGGTTGCCTAAATAAGTAGATTATGGCTATTGTAGAGAATAGTTATGGTTGTTGTTGCCAGGTTCAGTTTCGAAGTTGTTCTACTGATTAGAGCGCATGTCAGCAAATGGGAAAAATGAGAATAAGACAATGTTGACGAGGAGAGAGAGGAACAGAGTTGCGAATAAATAGAGAGAGAGAGAGAGAGTGTGAGGAATTGACAGAGCGAATGATATAAGAGTACTGCATAAGGGAACATTTAGAAGGCTTGCATGGTGCCAGATGGTTGTACGTTATATAAGTCTAGCGCAATCGCAGTACAACAACCACTTACAACTTACTAAAATATACTTCTAAATTCAAATAGTTATTATTTTAATTATTTGTCGAGTTAAGTTTAAAGTAGGCGCTTTTTCCGTTTCGAAATTCCCTCAGTCTGCCTCTTTTCAAACTATTTTAAGCCCCATTATTGATTGATCTGGTGTTACAGGCAAACTATATCAACTTATTAAAGAAGCGACTATTTTGTTTCGAAATTTGATTTAATTTGATTTTTATGATAATAATCTAGCTCTATTCCATACATGCCACTGTGAACTATCTGGCAACTTCCTAAGCTGCGTAACGCAAAAACTAAAAAAAAAATACACAACATATGCAACAAGGGTCAGGCTCTCGCATTGCTGCTCTCTTTATCAGACTCTCTCTCTTTCTCTCTCTGTCTCTCTATCGCTTCTTCTTGATTTGCCCAACAAGAACAGAAGAGCTGCAGCAATAACAACAAAAACGAGCAGCAGCAACTGTTATAAGATCTCTGTATTTGAAATAACTTCGATTCGAAGCCAGTCAAAAATGGTCCATCGGCGCGACATGAACCGTCAGCAGCATCCGCAGCCGCAGCCTTGTTAGCCTCCGAAACCGAACTCGCAAAACGTGTGCGTATGTGTGAGTGTTCTGTTCTGTTCATGTCTATGTCTGTGTGTGTATATATATATATATATATACGCTGCCAGCAAAATCAGACCAAATGTGAAGTGGCAAGTCCAACGGCAAAGTTCTTGTCGCTGCTGCTGCCCATGGCCAGTGTTGAAAGCGCGCAAGAAAAAAATTGTAGCATAAATATAAAGTTTTGCTACTAAACAAATTGATACAAAAAATCATTTGTTATTATAAATATATTCGCACAATACCAAGCCAAAGAAACAAATACAAAGTACTAGAATTTAAAAAATTAGCCAAGAGAACTTAGTATAAGTATTCGTTTCTGTATGTGTTTGTGTGCCTGTATGTGTGTGTGTGTGTGTGGAGCTGAGGTCTATATATAGGTGTGTTTGTGCACGGATTTATGCAGCGCTAGTTACATAAGGTATCATCATTATCAGCAGCAGCATAAACAGCTTCTTTGGTTTCAACGATGCCTATTGCCGCGCGTAAATTACGATTATTTGCCCTTTGCCCACTGTTCATGTAACATCGGCAGCGACCAGCATCGGCAGCAATGAAAATCGCATTAGTGAAACACACCAACAACAATGACAATAGCAAATGTTGCCCCAGGCTACAATCGCTCGACCTATGCACCAAAGACAGGCCCCCAAATGTCCCTGATGCTTGATGCATAGCTGTTGATTTTATTGCGCTGCATAAAGCACATTTAGTTAATTTTGTGCCTAAAATATGAAATAGATAGAATTTGAATACCAGATAAAAACTACCCTAATCAGTATGGCATCTTAAAGACACGGCTCAGACACGGCATGCGCAGCAAGGAAATCGAATGCCCAAAACCGAAGAGAAAAACAAACAGAAATTGAATTTCAAATAAACATATATTTATCAACAATTTTTTTTGTGCGATTGACCCAACATCTTGTTGTTAGACACGTGTTCGCGGCAGTTTTTGGATGTCGGCGCATTGTATAATCCTTATAGACCGTAAGCAAAAAGGGCCGCCTTTAAACAATAACAAAACCAGGGCATGAAAGCTTTGACTCTTTAGCCAATTAACGTACCTTTCGTACCAGGTGGCAGCAGCTTTGTTGTCACGTTTTCAGTTATTCAAACATGGATATTTTGCTGTTGTCAAAATAAGAAGGAGAAGCAATAACCCCTAATAAGCAGCATACCGACAAGACAAGTAAACAACACAAAAATATTAACGTTAAATAAACGACAACAAAGCAACAACAACAACAATCAAATGCATAATTATGATGGATTACCTGTTTTGTTGCAAATTGGGTGCAAAACGGAAACAACAGTCATAACAACAAAAGGAACATCTGCAAATTTGCGAAACTTTAAATGCAAGTCACAATTGCATTAGCATAAAAGGTGGGTTAATGTCGATCTAATTCGATCTAAATCTAATTCTAATTACTAACGTGTACCTATTGATTGACCAAGATGATTATTTGTTTACATTAATTACTGATTACCACAGCATATGCATAAGGGAAAGCCATAATCAACTATTATAAAACTGAACTAATATCGAATATTTAATGCTACAAAATTATACAAAATAATTAAATAAATGTCCAATTCAGGACAACGCAAATTGTAAGCTAAGGTTACAGTAGTCCAAGATTTGAACACTAGAGAGTAACAAATACGCTTAAATAACTTTTCAAAACATTTTAAATATTTACAGCTGCATATGCACTTGCATGGCCAAAGTTGTGCATACGCCCCGTATACAAAGTATTAAAATGAAATAAGACAGTAAGAGGATAAAACATGTTAGTTTACTGTCTTACCTCATTTCAATACTTTGGCCATGCACAACAAAAGTTGTTGCGACAGGGTCAGATTTAAAAATGTGCTTGTATATGCATATAAAAAAGTCAAGAATATAGACAGTACATTTTTTGAACAGCGAATCGGTAAACAATTTTAACTGCTTGTAGTTTTATCAGCTCTTACATAACTAAATGACGCATCGACCTCTGACGACATGTTTGTAGCCGGAATTTCCCATTAGGAATATCTTAACAATAGTCCACCCTAGCCGATATCCTTTGTATACAATTCAGTTCTTACAAATTTTGCTTTTGTTATGGCTGACGACGAACTAGATGCTTTAAAATTATTGACTTATTGAAATATGGAAGGCCTCATTGATACTTGTTCATTGCAACGCATTGCCAAAGCTCTTATTCGCACATATAATTAGAGACACGTCAATACCTAGATATACTTATAAATTTGGCAGTCTGACTTACAACTGACACGGCAATAACAATAAATGTTATTTTAAAAAAATCGGCAATAATCGACATGTCGCTGAGCAGAAACCCAAGAAACTCTTCTTTCGCGACAATGAAAGCAATCAATAATAACAAAAGGACAAGCTTTCAGAAGTAGATGCCCGCCTACCTTCTCCTATCCCTGCATTATACATTCCCCTGCAAATGCTTGCCAGCTAATTTAAGAAGCAGGACAAAGACTCGACGAAAATGTTAGCTAATTAAAAAGGGTTAGAAATGCAAAGTGGGCGTGGCATCAGCAGTGGCAGCTATCGGCTTTTTCCATGCTTCTTTCGAATATTTAGCATTCTCTCAAAATTAGTTTGACACGCACCAATTTATATAGGCATGAAAAACACACAATGTTTAGTGTGTTTAGAGTAAAAACAAAAAACTTAGATTAACTTTTGTCACCTTTGCTGCTAGTTTTTGTAATCGCTGATCACTGCCAAGAGCTTCGACATGTGTATGGAATAAGATCAATATGTGGCTTGCCTTTATGATAAAACGTTTAATTAATTAATCAAGCAATGTCTCGTTTTTCCGCCAATCATGTTTACTGTTACGGCTTTGAATAGTTTGACTCTTAAGCCCCTTGAAATGTATTTACAAGACTGGTAAATATTTGTCTAATTAGCACACACTCAATATATATCTCAAGAAAACTCGCATTAATCTTTCATAATGAGCATATCTATCATCATATTATAAGACTGCTACAATCCAAACCTCTTAAATGCTACTTTATTTATACTTTTGGTCTCTTTGGTAACTAACGCTTTATATATAGCGGCGAGTAAACATTCCGGCACAATGTCATCTCTTGGGACAAACTAATAAAATGGCTAAGAGCTCAATTCCCGTTGCAACCACGCGTGTGCACACACCTCCACAGGCGCAACACACAAGTCCGCGGCCACAGACCCAAACACAAACTACATTGGCAACATTTGCAATTCCAAATGGCGAATAGCCAATTTATGCGAATTTAAAAGCCCTACGCTCAGTTCTGACACATTAATCATACGCCACATGTGACGCGCGACTATTGACTCCCGTTCGTAGGGATTTCAATCCAATAACTGCTTTCCTTATTTGCATTAACTGCTGGAAAGCCACTTCTTAAGCCAAGAAGAATGAATCTTCATTTTCAGTACTTTTTTTATTACTATTATTTTATTTATTTACTTATTAATTGTAGATTAAAATCATCATACTGCGATATGGGGTTCGGTTCTAAATTAAATTTCCCATCCACGTGTTGTTAAGGCACTAAATTATGATTGTACAGGCTCTACACTTAATAAAAAACAATAAATAATATATTAAGTGTATGAGGATTTTAACTTCTCAGTACTGTTTATTATCGTCGGGTGGAAGGTGCCCAGAAAAGTATGCAATGCAAAATACGTTAACTTGATAAATGACTGACTTCTCTTCTTAATTTGTTTCTTTTCCTTTGATACCCTGAACACATTGAAAATGGGTAAAAAGGGTATTATGTATTTGTGCAAATGTATGTAACAGACTGAAGGAAGCATCTCCGACCACATAAAGTATATATATTCTTGATCAGCATCAACAGCCGAGTCTGTCCGTCTGTGCGTCCGTCCTTATGTATGAACGCAAGGATCTCAGAATCTATAAGAGCTAGAGACTTGAAATTTTAGCTGTAGGTCCTCCTAGTGCCCGCGCAGATCTTTGTTTCCGATATTCGATAACTTGCCCCGTTTCCAAGTAAACGATAAAAATCGATATCGAAATCCTGTTTTTTGAGCAATTTTGGTACATACTAAGAGCTAGAGTCACCAAAATTTACATGTAGCTTCTAGAATAGTATATACATATATATCAAGTACCTTTCATTTTATACCTATCGCCTGTTGGAGGAAGAGTGTTCAGGGTATACCCTAGTCGGGAGTTCCCGACTAGAACCTCTTACTTGTTGTGTAATGGCTGACTAAAAATAAACTTTGATGCAGCTTGACCAACCAGCCAACCGTCAGGATTAACTGGCCTCAAATGTTCTTTTCTTATTTAAACCAGCTGTTCGCCAGTAGACTTCAATTCTATTATATTTATACTTATAGTTATTTAATCAACTTGCCAATCGCTTGATTGGGGAACCAATAAAAAAATAATTTGCATCCAGTTTATTAGCTGTACTGGCTCCTAAATAATAGGCCTGAGCATTTCCCCTTACTTAAATTATGAATAAAATATACATTTTTCTAGCCTTAATTTCAAATGCTTTATCGAAAACCAAAATTGAATGAAAACCCAATCTTGTTATTCTCTAGCGCAGTGTGTGGTGGGTGAATGGGCTCAGCTGCTGCCATTAGGCATGCATCAGCACGCGGCAATTTTGCGGATCTGATATGTGGTATTTGAGGGATTTAGTTACGGGTCCCAAGTCTCTGTTCAGCCAGGCGCAAGCACAAAGACATTGGAATGAGGCGTGCGGCAGTCGTGTTACCAGGATGCTATTTTTAGATAAATACGCACTCGCCCACATGAAAAGAGGTCGGCAAAATCGCTTCAGGGCTGAATATAGTTAAGTCGCCAGTTGTGCATGAATGTATCTCGTATACGTACATATGTGCGGATGTGTATGCTTCATTCAATACTACTTTGCCCTGCCTTGGCTGACCTCCTTTCGCCACAGATATATGTCACTGCGTCGTCGCTCCGCTTGTAATTAACCCTTTTAGCAACATGCTTTGCCAATTACACTTGTGTTCCACGGTTTCCCCAGTTTGCATAAGGAATATACTGAACATTTAATTGTGCTATTTGTCATTCGTTTCAATCGAATGAAATTGGCCCTGTCAAACCGAAGTTGTTTTATTAACACTTTTTAATATAGCTAAATATATGGTCTATTACAACTGAACTTATATTAAACCAAATTGTAAGCCTTATCAGAAGAATAGTGGAATCCTTTCCTTATCAAAGTGAACCAGCTGCATTTAGATTTAAATTAGTTTTGAATACAAACGCTATCGAGTTTTAGCCCCTCGTTAGTTACACGGCTTAGTGTGGTTGGACCAATTGGGCCACAGAGAGTTGATTTGTAGAACAAAGGTTATACACTCCCACACTTACACCTACATAAACATTCTTACAAACACATAGAAATGATAAATGCATGCCAAATATATAGTTAAGTTTAAGGTTCCACTTAGTACTTAGTGATCCGATTACTGTTTCTGTCGCTTCTGTTCGTGATGGCGTTTCTTCTTGACATAACGACGCGAATCCGATTTCGGCACCTCTTCCGCATCCTCCTCCTGATTTCGATCCTTGCCGCGCTGCTGTGCCATTGCGCGTTTATTGTGCGCCATCTCCAGATTAATGTCTACCCAATCATAGAGATAGTCATAGAGCAGAAAATGATTCCGGAACAGCACCTTAAATAGCTGCCGCAAATAAACGTAGTCCGGCTGCTCGGTAAAGTGCAGGCTGCGACAGTACTTCATGTACAAGTAGAATTCGGTGGGAACTCCGGAGCATAATATATTTAATGGCAGCGTTGACTTGCTCTCGGCAATTCTCTCGTACTTTTGTATTCGTGTCGCGGCATTGATGCCCTGCCAAGGAAGGCGACCGCGCAAAAAGTAGAGCAGCAGATAGCCCACGGACTCCAGATCATCACGGCGTCCCTGCTCCGCATAATGGGCATGCACAGAGGCGTATCGAGCCGTACCTATGAGCTCATGACGCTCATAGTAGTTGATATGTGTACGGGTGCTGGGACGATAGTATTTTTTGGCCAAACCAAAGTCAATCATGAAAACGCGAGTGCGCTGACTGCCCAAGCCCATCAGAAAGTTCTCCGGCTTGATATCTCGATGTAACAGACAGTTCATATGCAGATACTCCACACGGGCCAGTATCTGATCCGCCAGCATCAGGGTCGTCTTCAAGCTAAAGTTGCGCGCACAAAAGTTAAGCAGATCCTCCAAGGTGGGGCCCAATAGATCTAGAACCAGCACATTATATATGCCCTCGGTGCCGAAATAACGAATATGCGGGAAGCCAACGCCACCTCGCAGGATATTGTATATTTTAGCTTCGCGCGGCAGCTGTGGATACTTCACGGAACTGCTCTCGAGTTTAACAGCCACCTCCTCGCCGCACTGAAGACCAGAGGCACGGTATAACTCCCCAAAGGATCCACTGCCTATGGGACTCAACAGACGATACTTGCCACCAACAATAATGTCCCGTAGACCACCTCGCTTGGTGGATCCCAACGGCTTTGGGGGTTTCACTTGCGGCTGCAGCTGCTGACATTGAACGTGTAGGTATCGATTTTTATGTCCAAGTTGCCAACATTGATTTTCATTCGGATATCTTACTTGTGCCATCCTCTCTCGTGCTCGGATCGGTGTTCGCTGTAGGTTAAAGAAATGTATTTAAAGTGTCGCTAGGCATGACTAGCATGACTTGTGTGGGAATATATTCTGTCAATATTACAAAAATCGAATACAATGCAATAAAACCATAAAGTCAAGGATATACTGTGTGTACATGTTGTGCCAAGATAAAACAATCAAATTGTCAGCAAGAATAAGAAATCAAGTACGCATTGCATTCATTTAAACGCGTTTTATTTCTCACTTTAGTCGCTCTCAGTCCACGCTAACACGCCAACAGTTATGGATGTATGTTAGATTTGTATCTATTAAACTATTTACAAACGAGCATTTATTTACTTAGTTATTCAATATATCAAATTATAACAACTAAGAGGCTCTAGTCGGGAATACCCCGAAGCCTTATCTACCAACACCAAATGCAGCTCGCGCTAAGTTTGTTTCAGCAGTAATAAAAATAAAACAAAAAAGAACAAAAACCGCAATTGCAATGCTGTTGATAGAATTCAAAGAAGGCGCTCATAAATGTGTGTGTGTACATATATACAAAAATTCTTACAATTTGCGCTAGCTATTTTGTTTAATAACTTTTGTGTTTCTAATGCGATCTTAATGAAATTTTCTACAGTACATCTTATTGTGCTATAGAATATTGTGTATTCTCAAAAAGTCAATTGCATTATAATTGTGGCTTTATTTATTTATTGATTTATTTATAAATGGTCGACAAGACAAGTGTCTTCCTAATTGTTCAATACATTATACATACATTATGAAAATTAAATGCTAAAAGCCTTGTTAGAATGTACAATTTTCTAATGGCATCACCGACCGATGGATGTGTTTGCCCGTCCGGCCAGCTATGCCCCTTCTCACAGCTAATTTTTTCATGGACGGTATAAGAGCCTACGGCCAAGAAGAAAAATTAAAAATAATCTTAAATTACTATATTATTGAAGAAAACACAAAAAATAGGAAAAAGTACAGGAAGAAGTTATTAAAAAATTAAGGAAATTTGTACTAGATATATAAAGTGTTAGGTAGGTAGGATAAAGAGATAGTAATGGGAAAATATATGGTCTGTCCAGCAAGCTATGCGCCTGCTCATAGCTGGGAATGGTCAGTGAGTTCCCGAAGAGAGAGTTCGGTGGAGAAAATGTGATACAAACAGCACGCAGGTAGAAATAAGGGACGATAATTCCTGGTATGTCTAAACGGCACAGGGAATTGAAGACGCCCTAACAGAAAAGAGGAATCTATCCAACAATTAACTCATGTAGATAGACAACACGGAGGAGAGGATGGCCACCGAAGATTGAGTTCCCAGTTTAAACCTCGTAAGGCAAAAAGCAGAAATTGCTTCTGAACAGATTCAATACGATCCTGACTATATATGGCTATATTTATAACAACTGCATTAACCGCATCTACATAAAATTCAGCTTAGCCTATATATGTATCCATATGTGCGTGATTAGACCAGCAATTGCCAGCGTATACTTTCATAAACCATTTTAAACGACGGCATTTATTTTAAGCTTACGGTGCAATAATTCCACCCTGTACCTATTAAAAACGTATAAAAAAGAAAATTATTGAATTTTTGCGGCGCTGGGATTTTGCCAAGCCAGGCGACAGATTTTTATTAACAATTATTCACAACAACAACAAAAACGGTAATGATGCCAAATTCGACAGCTTCGACTTTTTTCCAAATCATGACAAGTTTAATGTTGCTTCAAAAACTAAACTACAAACTTTTCCCTTATACATTTTTTTTACTAATAATTATGTAAAAATGCATATTCAATTTTTAGACCAACATTTAGGCACGTAAAACAATTTCTCCAATTACATGCTTTTTTGTTTGTAGTTTAAAGACATTCTTACATGCGATTTCTCCAATAATTGTTAAAACTGTTTTTTATTTATTTAAAGTATATTTATTTACCGCTCAAAACTAACGTATACAAAACAAAATTAAATTTGTTATTTTCCTATTTCAATTAATAATCGATGAATACATCTATTTTTCAGAAAGGTTTTGGAAAGCAACTCAAGCTATGCGTTCTCTATCCGACGCACTGTAGATTCGGTAATTAACCAATACCGAAATAGGACATCAATCAAACTGGCGTCGTTAAAGGGAAATAACGACGATAATTGCAATTACAATAATTATATAATGTGGAGTAGTACAATATCGCCAACAAATTCTAAGAAGCTATTGATCGGTAGTATACGAAGCGTTGATTATGTCGGTGATAGTGCGAAAACAGCAGCAGCCAATAATAAGACAGCAGCAACAGGAGCAGCTACAAAAGGATCAACGACAAAATCACAACAAAAACCAACAGCAACAACCATTCCAGCGAATACAACAAAAATCTCAATTGAAATGGAGATACATATACAAAATAAGTGCATTTCGGCATAGCGCATCACTCTGGAGGGTGGTGCAGAGCCGCCATGGCTGCAGGGCCCCCTTAAAGCAGCATTTTTGGGGGCTACTGGCGTCGGCAAAACAAGCATATTACAGGTAAGTGTTATCTTCACATATATCATAATATTTTCAATGTTATGCATATACTATATAAAGAGACTGCAGTTAAATTTAAAGCTCCCAACTTGGGGATACCCTGAACCCTCTTCTTCAAACACCAAATACTTTAGTGGTAATAGAAACCAGTAATTAAATTAATTCACATAAAACAATACAATCGCATTTGCAATATAGTTCATAGAATTCAGAGAAGACGCGCATGAATGTGTGTGTGTACATGTATACAGAAATTCTTGCAATTTGCGCTAGCTGCCGCAAACACGAGGCCAGCCAAAACACATTTTCTTTAATAACTTTTGTGTTTCTGAACCGATCTTAATGAAATTGTCTACAGTACATCTTATTGTGCTATAGAACATTTGTGTATTCTCAAAAATTGGATTATTTATTTGATTCATATCTATGAGGTAGTAGTGGGAAGGTGGTGATAGCTATAAAATGAAAGATACTAGATATATATATACTATTCTGGTGGCTCTAGCTCTTAATTTTTACCTAATTTGCTCAAAAAATAGGATTTCGATATCGATTTTTATCGATTACTTGGAAACGGGGCAAGTTATCGATTATCGGAATCAAATTCGTGCTGCACTAGGAGGACCTACGTACAAAATTTCAAGTCTCTAGCTCTTATAGGTTCTGATATCCTTGCGTTCATACATACGGACAGACGGACGGACGGACGGACAGACAGAGAGACGTGGCTAGATCGACTTGGCTGTTGATGCTGATCAAGAATATATATTTAAAGTAAAGTAAAGTATTTAAAAGGGTCGGAGATGCTTCCTTCTGCCTGTTACATACATTTGCACAAATACATTATACCCCTTTTACCCATTTGTTAATGGGTTCAGGGTATAAAAATATCCAACCTTTACGCTTGGATACTGTGAAAAATGGCGTCTGATGAAAACTAAATGGTTTAACAGCAGGTCAAACGCCTAATGGAATCGTCCTTCATTCGGTCTCATTCTCTGCTAATGGCATTTGAATGCATGTGGAAGCAGCGCTAATTTGATTTCCGCTTCACCGATGCATCGCTGCATTTACGCTGCATTTTACGTCTTTGTGAATTAAATGTTGTAATTAGACAAGGGTGAACCGCATACGAGAATGACCCTTTTCTGAACATATTTAAATGTATTTTAAACGCTGCAATTACTTCAATGGGAGATGTTTACATGAGAATGGAATGCATGATATTTATATACTTGAAGTTGGCACGAAATACAAAAACAATTTCCAATCTCATTCCCATTATCAGCCACAATGTCTGCATTTTAGCGGACTATTAAATCACGTATCTTTATTATTTCCCATTTACTTATTGAATGTAACTCTTTTACAGCAATTTTTTTACCATGACTTCCCCAAGAATCATCAGACGACAACTCATCGCAAAATTTATAAAAACTGTTTGGTGTGCGATACCTGCATACGGGAGCTGATGGTATTGGATGTTCCTCCCCAGGTGAGTGCAAATTAAAAACTCATCAACATATCAACCTGTACACTTAGCTTATAAGTTACTAGCGGGTATTGCCCGGCCTTGCCCGTGCAAAGTTACCTTTCCTTACCGATCTTGATCCCCATTTCTATTTAAAAATATGTTTTAAGTGCATCGAATAAAGAACCAAGTGTTGGAATCAATACTTTCCGCCCATGTTAGTCTTGCGGTGAGAATCTTGAAGCTGAAGAATAAACTTTCGTTTATTAAACCTTTGATTCGCATTTGCTTCCTAAGGAAGTACCAAATAAATTCTCACAAAGATCTTTGAAAATGATTTTTCGCGATTTTTCCACACATGCGGGTGGATTAACTATAGAAAACATTTCAGCTTCTTAGCTCTTACTTAGTTTTATATATATAGAAAATATAAATTGCTTTTAATGACGGATAAAAGTATATTGGTGTAACGGGTATATTATGCTCATAATATTATTGATGAATATCGCAAATTCTCTTACACAAAAATTTTTAATTTATTTTGTGTCAACTACAATCATAGACATTAAATGCCAAAGAAAAAACATCTCCATTTTTCTATGACGCTTGCAAAATAAAAATAAAATGAAAAGCAATGTTTGCAAAAGTACAAAACGTCGAATCTGACAGGCGGTTGCTATAGAATTGACAAACTTCTATTGTCCTATCTCTCCCATCATTCCCCCACCAACGCCTCAGACATACCACTAGGTTTCATTGGCTGTCAATTCATTCATGTCCACCTTGGCGTGAACACATTTGTATACCCTGTAGCAACAAAGTGTTGCAGAATGTATGCGAAAAGCGTATGTAATATGAATCCATCTATGTAATATGATGTATGTAATATGACTCCATTAAGTGTTTACTATATTCTCAATAAATGTCAACAGCAAGGTCGGTATACTCTTAACCCTCTGCCTATTTTTATGCGTAGTCCTTTATTCCCTTAGCTCAATGCTGCATTGATGTAACTTCTTGGACCCATATGCAAACTAGTCCTTTAGCTTGATGCTGAATTGATGTAACTTTTTAGATGCAAAAGTCAAAGCCATCAAGATACTAACTCGGCAAAGGGTATTAAACATTCGATACACCAAATATAGCTTTTCTCTTTAGTTGATTATATATTTTTTTATACAAGTTGTTGTTTTGTTTTGCTGAGCATTTTTTATTCCATTGTGTTGGCCAAATAGTTTCCTGTCAGGTACCCTAGTTAGAGACTATGAATGAGCGTTAGGAATATGGTACATTTTTCATTGTCAACTACAATGCTGGTCAGTTATTACTCAAAGTCCACTCTAATGGCTTCCAACTGTGTTAACTGCGTTTTGTGCTCCAACAGCTTTTCCTATTCACATCCTCAATTGTTAATTGTATTCTCCACAAGAAAAATTTATAGGAAGCACACACAGGGGCACACGTAGTTTTGGTGCCCTTTTGTTTTATATACTTATTAGAAAAGTTGCCGACACGAATTTCGCTTTAATGTTGCTGCCCTCGAATTGTTAGTTGAGCCAAAATTGGGCTAAAAACCGACGGGAACATTACTCAACAGGCAGAAGAAGAAGAGAAAGCTAAAATACCAATGACATTGGCTGAATATTCAAATTAAGTAAAAACTAATCCTAAAAAATAAATAGACAAATTTTCATGTTTTATTTAAAAATTGTGTCAAAAATCGAAAAGGCATTATTTTTGTATGAATGAGTATATATTTGCATGTGTATGCATGTATGTATGTATGTACATATGTATGTATTTACGTGTTCATGTATGTGTTTATGTAGAATGATGTTTATAACAATTTGAATTTCATGTGCAGGCATAGAAGTATGCATGTATATGAATGCGTTTGTGTGTGTATGTATGTATGTTTAACATGAATATATGTATGTATGTTTATATTATTGTCTGGTAGTATACCAGTATTTTGTACGAGTATAAGTATTATGTGTGTGTGTGTGTGGTAAATGCATGCATGTATGTATGCATTTATGTACACATGTATGCATGAATGTTTGTTTTCTAATATTAAACGCAGGCGAAGCTTATTTGTCGCTGTGCTGCAAGTTTAAATAAAATGAATTTCCACCAAGTGCTCTCCTCCTCGATTCTCAAGAATTCAAGTAGGCTCTGTAGTTTTTCATGCTTAGCTAGTAGTGTAGTGTTTTTTTATTTGTTGCTCTTTTTTGTTTTGTTGTTTTTTTTGTTGTATGCATGTATGTACATTTATATGTACACCTATCCTTCGATTTACACGGTACTTGATTTACACGGCTTCGCTTTAACACGGTTTTCAAATCGCCGAAATAAAAAAGTCCACATTGAATTCTTGCTGGAAAGTCATTTGGCCTGAAGTAATAGTCGAGAGAAACGTGATTATAGCTGAAAATGTTTATGCTAATATCATAGACTTAGGTAATGCTGTTGGAGGCGAGGGATTTAGTGATTTGGCTATTTCAGATATTGATATTTTTCACTGTAGTTACCTTATGTGATGTAGGTGCACGTTAAGACGTATGTAACTTTTTTGTTTACCATCCGTTCGGCCTTAAACTTATTTTCAAAGATCTTTGTTCAAATTCATTTGAGGGGTGTTTCACACTTTTAGGAAAATCCAATCCTCCTTGGTGAAAATGGAGGTCGAAGATCTATAAGAAAAATCATTTGAGACGTGTTTCACATATTTCGCAAAATCTAAAGTTCTTCGGTGGAAAATGGATTTCAAAGATTTTTTTGGTAAATTTTACGTTTTGTCCGATTTGCATAAAAGTTGTTTGATTCCCGTCCGATCAGTTTCATAATCATTTTCAAAGCTTTTTGATTATATAACATACGTGCCACGGGCAAGGCCGGGTTATACCAGCTAGTACATATATATATGCAAACATAAAAAAAATCTTTGAACCGCATGTCTACCCAGGAAGCTTGAATTCTGCGATCACGTCTCAATTGATTTTTCATATAGATCTTTGGTAATAAATTTGAGCACGAAACGTCACAGACCAAATATTTTACCCCCATTTCCACCAAAGAGCAATGCATCTGTTGAGAAGTGTGAAAATGAGATTGAGGCCGATCGGATCGTAAACATAAAAGCTTCATACAAATTTTTTTAGCGATTTTTCCACACATGCGGTTAATTACAGTGAAAATGTATCCGGGAAAGTGAAGTTGTTCACAATTTATTGTATACATAAGAGAGTCAAGAGGGTCGCTACCTACGTATTGTAATAATAATATGAACTCTGAGAAATTAAATATATACAAACGTTTTTCATTTTTTGTGACCTTTGCATATGTATGTGTGTGCATATATATGTATGTCTGTATTGGCATATGTACATATATATACGCATATATATGTATGTATATACATATGTATGTATTTATGCATATTTGAATATATACACGAAAACATGCATACATATATATACAAACATGCATACATATATGTATATGCAGACATGCACGCAAACATATATAGTATGTATGCATGCAAAAATGCATACATGCATACATGCGTGTATATTTGAATATATGCAAACAAAAATGCATACATGTATATACAAACATGCGTACATATATATGCAGACATGCACACAAACATATGTATATAGTATATATGCATGCAAAATGCATACATGCATGTATATACAGGTATCCATACATGTACGCATGCATGCATATTTGCATATATACAAAACAAACATGCATACATGTATATAAAAACAGACATACATATATATATGCAAACTTAACTTAAAACTTCGACAAAAAAAATCTTTGAACTGCATTTCTACCCAGGAAGCTTGAATTCTGCGAACACTCAAATGATTTTTTATATATGTAGATCTTTGGGAATAAATTGTTATTGTATACATGAGAAAGTCAAAAGGGTCGCTACCTATGTATTGTAATAATATTATCAACTAAATGTATACAAACGCTTTTCATTTTTTGTGACCTTACCAGAAGCGATTTCCGGCTGATAACTTTGCTGAATGGAATAATGGACATCCGCTGGGGCTGCGAACGGTGCACGCCTATGTTCTAGTTTATGATATGGGCAATTTGGAAACGTTTCAGGTAGGTCAATCAAATAATTTGGACTCCATTCTAATTAAGGGATTTGTGTGCATGATTTGCAGTATTGCCGCTCCATAAGAGATCAAATCTTGGATAGTTTCAGTCATCGTGATTTTAGCATAATTGTGGTCGGCAATAAATATGACAATGTTTCTGAGGCGCAGGCTAACTCGCAGGTATGTAATTAATCTTAAATTTGTGTTATACAAATAGATGTGTTTGGTGAACTCTGGGTATTGTTTAATTCCTAAATACATTTTTAAATACTTTTGTTAAATAGTATATAAATACTTTTAGCCGTTGAAACTCTTTAATGTTATGCCTTTTAGGAGCTCAAGGACATTTCTACGCTGGTGCGTAAGCATTGGCGTTGTGGCTACGTAGAGTGTTCCGCACAGTGAGTAGAACCTTAAAGATACTTTGTTATCTCAGGTATTGCCCATGCCAGATATATATTTGCCCATTCCAGATACAACTACAAAATCGGCGACGTTTTTCGCGAACTAATGGGCTGCAGCAGCGGCGGCGTCAGCGGCACAACTGTCGGCGTTCTCCTTGGCACTGAGTACTCGCAATCGACTAGGAATAAAGGACGCTGCACAATACTCTAGCAGATGCTGAATAAGTTATTTAAACAAGCCCATAATACCCAAGCGAGTTTTTCCGTTGAGCTGCGACATACCGATGATTCCGTATTCTCTGAAGCATTGTAACTGAGAGCTGTCCCTTGCAAACGCTTACTGATGCATATTTTAGCATACGCTTATATATGTATATATGTATATTTTGTTGCCGACACACTTTGCAGGTTATCTTTGCCTCGCCTTATCATTGTTGGCCATTGTCTTTGTTGCCTTTGTTTGCCATAATTTGAACATTATGCTCGCTCCTTTATTTGATCCCACATTCATTCCATACCAGCTGCATCGCTAGCAATTTCCATGCTAAGTCTCAAAGTTGTATGTCGGAAACTGTAGGAAACATTAACAAGAAGAAGAGCAACAACAACAACAAAATTCGAAAACGTTAAAATTGTTAACAGGCTGCAAATGGCAAGCTTGAATTATATTTGATTATTTTTTGTACGTAATAGGCAATTAATCCCACCATAATTTACAATACATTTTACGAAAAAAATATTGTTAACTCAACAGGAGCGATAAAATATGAAATCCATCAGTATAAATTGTATACTAATATACATTAGCTATATATATATATTAATATATAGGCAATATAGTGTATACATACGATAAATATATAACAATTCATTAACGTTGTGATCATTTCAAGAATTAGTTATTAGGCACAAGATGATAAATATGTCAGTTAAAGTCAAGTAACAAGAATCCCTTTAAAGGTTACCAAAAAAAAAATAAATGATACACCCTTTTAAATTTAGAAAAATATGTATTTAAATATTTGTAAGAAATACAAATGTAATAGAAATTGTTTTATTGCAGCAATTTATGAAAAACTGCCGAAAGCCTCAACATGATTACAAACAGTTTAAACGTTTCTCAGCCCTTATATTTATTGTATTCATTTTAAAGAATGACACAATAACATTTAGTATTATTAAATTAAATTATATGAAAAAATAACAAGAATTGTTGCCTTAAAACAATTTCTTTTCATCTTTAGCGCTACATTGTATTCAACCCAAAATGGCGCCAAGAAACTACAAATAATTGAAGCATCAAGCCTTAACCAATGCAACCCAAAACAAAACAAAATAAAGTATTATATTTGTTTATAGACCGATTAATGAGGTAATAAAATGAGGGTTGCAATTTTATGAAGCGCACAAGAAAATAATTGCTTTACTGTTAATTGAAGAGCAAATACACATTTGATGAACTCGATATTTATTTGCAAATATATACTTAGTATGTATATTTTTGTCGGGCTAGTAGAATATTGCCTAGCTCACTAGGTAGGTAACTGTTAAGTTTCCACAATAAAATTGCTGACCTAAAAATAACAATTACTATTTTCACAACAAATCTACGTAACTCTATACCGAACTCTTTCTTTACCTCAACAAAACTCGAAAGATAAGCAATCAAGTCTGACTTTGTACATAGAAATTTCAAAACTTTCGTAAATGCAATATATAAGTAAAAAAGCAAACAACACATTAACTAACACATAACTAAATTTAATCAATGTTTACAGCCATATATTTGAACTGTGAACAAACAAACACCAGAAAAAAAACTAGCGAGTCTTTATAGTGATTTATGCTAAAGACAATTGAGCGCACTGCCAATCGGGTCGGTCGGTCAATGAAATCAACTCAACTCGAGTTCAGTGCTCGATTCAGATGAGGCAAATCATAAATAATGAATGAATTTGCATCACAATTGAAATGGCCACGCCACGTACATTTTTGAATTTAGCGAAGGGTAAAATTCATAGGCAATAATAATGTTAAAACTAAAGCGACACAAATATTTAAAAAGTAGTTGGGATAAAAATATATTTAAACTTAAAACTGTAGCATTGACGCTTTGATAAAAATTATATATACATATGTACTATTACCCGAAAAGTTTATAATAGTTATGAAAATGTGCAGCCAAATACATTGACTTGTTGAAATGTGTTCATTAAATATCAAAGCTCATAAAATTAACATCGGCCAAACTGAAAATCGTATAGAAATTTGCTCATTAATGTACACAAACTAATTGTATAAAATATACGTATTGTACTAAGTATATAATAAATAATGTACATGTATTTAGTTAGTTTTCTTTCATGATTTCGAACGATTACGGATTCGTCAAAATGGCTGTTAATTTTTGAATATAAAATACGCTAAAACCGATTCACAATTAAAAACCAACTAAATTATACACAAAAGCAAAACAAATTGCGGTTGAATTAAATTTAAGCAACGCGTTGCCTGCTACAGTAAAGTAAAACGTAAATACTTGTAGTTATGTATTTAAAAATTAACATATAAATCAAACATCAATGACTTAAATGCAATATGCTTGAATCGCTTTTATGTTTGTTTAGTGCGTTGTTCAAACTTAAAAACTTCAAATGAAGTGGTAGCAATTAGTGTTAAGGCACTTATATACGAGTACACATGTCCTCAAGCAGGACACTAATGATCTCTTTTTTTAATGCAATGAAAATCACATAAACAAAATAGTTAATATTAATAGTTCAAACTGATAATTCAAAAGAGCTAACCACACAAAAAGAACAGAAAAAAAACAACACCGCAAATAACTATTAAGCAATGAAGAAGAAGCCTCAACCTAATAATCATTATAGTACTAGTACTTATATATGTGCTTATATTATGCCATGTGTATGTATTGTGTTTTTGCAATATGCGTTAACCCGCGCAAGTATATAACGACTAATCCGTTAGAAATGTAGAAAACGTTTTTGGAAAAATGCAAACTGAAATAAAAAATTAATATTAGAATAAAGTTATATAAGTATTTTGCAAATCTTTTGGGTATTTTGTGATGGGAAGTTATATAAATAAACTCCTTTCAAGTACACAAAAACTTAAGTGTAAATAACTTTTAAACAACAATCGCAATTGGATGGCAATAACATCGTATACCATTTTAGATTCTCAGTATTAACTAAGAAACTTTAAAGCATTCGGAAAGGGATTACATCAAAAACCGTAACCAAAATATTAAACTCCGATGTTTGTTACTCAAAATTATAGTGCGTGACAAGGTCGGTTGCATTAAAGACAATAAATAAATAACATTATCAAAGCTAAAGCCAACACAAAGTATATATATATAGTTTTTTTTTATTTAACTTAGTCGTTATTAAACAAAAAATAAGTAGAACTATTTTGTGAAAAGTACAAACAATCATTTGATATAAACTAATAAATTAGTTTTGGGAAAAGTTTACAAATTATTAATAGTTTATATCCTGGTTACATGTCTTAACATACACATGTCACTCTTCTACTATTAAGTCTTTTAATCAAAACGGACTCCTTGACGCTGCTTATTTAAAATTTAATTTTAAATATCTCTTATAATATACATGAAGAAAATGAATAACTTAAAATTAGCTGACTTTTAAGAAGGCTTATCAGGGTCAGACCAGAAAAAGTAATAGGCTACGTGCCATGATTAATAATTGCTGTTACTTTAGTCAAACAGAATAATAACTTAAAGCAAATGTGACTTATTTTAACTTAAGTTCTATGTGCACCAACTTCCTCCGACTCTATTCTCTATCACTGAGGCTGTTCGCTGGTGCTGCTGAAAGTGCGGCTACGACTCAACCGACGCGTGGCCGCCGCAATTGCTGCCTGTTCGCTATGCCCCTCCACCAGTTGTTCGGGAAGTTTCAGAATTTCGTGCAGCTGCTGTTTCAACTGTTTTGTTTGCGGTCGCTGCGCTGGCTGCGAGGAGAGCATCCTTTGCAACAACTCATACTGCTCCGGATTTTGTTTGACAAAAGCCTCGGGATACTGGCCATCTCTCAAGCCACGAAGTGTCTTAATGCGCTCCATTTCAGTGGAAAAATAAACATGTAGCTCGAAAAATATAAGGCCTAGCGAATATATGTCCACCTTATAGTCATAGTTTTGGCCTCGCAGCTGCTCTGGCGACATGTATAGGTGTGTGCCAACCAGTTGCGTATGGCGGGCGCACGAGGGTAAACCGGATTGGTCACCACAATCGTTTAATATGTTGGGGATATCCGCCATGTCGGTAACAAGCCCAAAGTCACCAATTTTGATCTGTCCATCCTGGGAAAAGAATATGTTGCTGGGCTTCAGATCCCGATGTATGAGACCCTTAAGATGGACGTAGTCCACCGCATCTACAATCTGATGAAAGATATGGGCAATGTGTGAGGCACGCGCTTCGGTCCGATTGTCCCGTAGCCAATCACGCAAACTCTCCTTGCGGCATAGTTGCATTTGAATGTAAAGGTAAACCTTGTTGGGCTTCACGATGAGTCCGTTCTGTACAGTAGCATTCGGCAACGCTACCTGGCTGCTGTTGGGTGACTGTGGTTGTAGCTGCTGATTGTGATTCTGGGACAGTGCCAAAGTCAACGGTTTGTGCCTGGGTGATACTTCAGTTTCCTCGTCTGTGTCGCTGGTATTGCCCTTGGAGCGAATCGATTCGATTTGAAATGAATTTGATAGCTGATGTTGCGTGTAATTGATGTTCTTTAAATCAAAAGATGCAGAGTGTACATCAATAGAAACAGAGCCCCGTTGCGCACGAGTCTGGGTTTCATGCTTTATTTGCCCTTGCTGCTTCTCCTCAATGTCTTCCTCGTCTGCATGCAGCGCAGCTGACTGTGATTCACTGCGGAACTCAATTAGCGAATCATCTTCCTCATCGTCGTTGTATTCCTTAATGTGATTGAAAGGTTTCTCGGTACGCCCAAACTCATAGCTACAGGCAGTGCTGTTAGCGGGGTCTGATACCCACGAGATCATCTGACCATGCTTATTTTGAGTGTGATTTATAAACGATGGCATGGTACTGCCATCGGGTGTCTCGATTTGTATAGATGTAGACAGTTCGTGTGCTAACAGCTTACGATCCTCCTCTTCCTGCCAGCCTACAGGCGGAGTTTCTACCCAGGACTGTATATTATTCAAAAATATAAACAAAACAGTTTATTAAATACGTTATTTAGATAATGTAACGACAGTGACTTACGTGAAAGTATCGAACAATGTTGTGGTGCTCACAGCTGGCTAGAGTCCGAGCCTCACGCAAAACACGCTGCCGCGATGACTC